AATAGCATGTCGGGGTCAATAGGGCGGTTTTTGTCGACTGCATGGCCGGGGGGAGGGGGAATGTGTATACAGCGTTAGCGGTTAATTATCATGCGTCGTTTTGTGTGGCGGATGTATAAAAATGGCGAGATCCAACACGCGAACATCCGGGAGGAAACAAATAAAGTTCAGAGAAATTCCGATTGAGCTACGAATCCGCCACAGGTGTGTACCGCGCGTCGAGGGGGCAGAGAGGGGAGGGGAAGGGGGTATGGTAATGGCGTAGTGAGATGAAGTGCACTCGGCGTGTCCTAATTCTAATGAAGATAGTAAAGTGATACGAAGGAGAAATGGGGCGGGTGCGGGGCTAACAAGGAAAGGGTAGAAAGGGGGCGTTGGGGGGGGGGAGGAGGGGACGGAGGAGAAAGTGAAGGAGAAAGAGGAACAGGAGCAGTGGGAGGATAGAGAGCCGGGCTTTGAGAGAGGGTCACACAGGCAGGGAGTCTTGAGAAAACATGCGAGAGAGATATAGCAACGGGCACCTGAATATGTAACAGGTGCCAAAGTGTTCAGTTTTAATGATGAACGCAACAGGTGGTCAGGAGACGCAGTAAACGGTACCCTACACGCTCGGCTAGGCCCAAGACGCTTCGGGGACTTGTTTCGATACTTTATCCGTGCAGGGATGGTCTCAGTCTCGCCTGTTAGGTGGGGGTACTTGTGCTTTAACGAGCTCTGCTAATTTCCCTTTGTGATTATTATTGGTCTTTGTGTGGCCGCCATCGCTCGCCGGGGTTGTCTGCTTCAGCGCCGGGTTTGAGGCGCCGCCTGTGCTAAAGGCTGCGCGAGAGGTCTTTCTTGCTCCTTTCGCAACACGAATGTTAATCGTATTTTTTTTTTCTTTTCAGTACAAAGGGCGAGGAATCTACTCTACAAAGGGAAAAATGGTGAGTAAATAGGGTCGCCTTTATGGTTGCATGAGTTGAAACTAACAGTGAATGAGTGTCCGGGTGAGTAAGTGAAAGTTGATGAATTTTTGTAGCAGTGTGGGTTGAAATAACGTACCTGGTTTCATACGAATGCACGACTGCATATGCGTATGTACTCAGTAGTAAAAGTGTACATGAACTTGTTGTGCGTTATGATTCCTATGTGTGTCAAGGTTCCGGAAAGGAGCACAGTTATGCTATCTCCGAGGGGCTCATCAAGATGTCAGATGATTCTTCTGCGAAGCGTGGCGAAAGTGTGTGGCGAAATTGAGATGAATCCATAATATTAGCGATGCCATGTGCGGCACATGCGCAAGACTCATCCAGTCCGGCACGCAATCACACGCGAAATTACAAGCCGGCGGGTTCGAGGTTAGCTCCGTTTTTTTTATAGGGGGGGGGGCTACTCCTGGAGTGGGAAGTTTTGCAGGAGGAAGACGGCGAGAGCCTTCGTCTTCGAGATCAAGACACCCTGTGACCGCAAGAGCGCGATTGATTGCCGAAGAAACGCACTTTAACGCCGGAGCCGTGAACCTCACGAGAGCTCAGGCGGTGCATTGTATTTTCGTGTCGTTAGCGCCTCGTTAAAGCGCCTGTAAAGGTTACGGCAGCGACGGCGAGAGCTAGTACGGGGTGGCGCGGCGGGGCGTAAAGTCAAGCAGGGAAACTGCAAGCACCAGCTGGTTCAAGGGCTGGCTGCCGCTCTGCAAGGGACTTAGCGAGGTGTGGGAAAGTGCGTCGCCCGTGGGTTCAAGGATCGGATGCTTCGTTGAGAACAATGCTTGCTCGTCTTCCCATGAGTAGTCTTCCTTGTCAACATCCGTGCTTGCGTGATGCTGCGTACGTGGGCACTTCTGGTTACACGATGGGACACGCGGTCACATAGTCTGCCAATTCCAATCTAGTGTTCCTAAATCTCCCCACCCCTGCTCCCAGTCCCATTCTCACTTCCGCTCCCACCTCCACTTCCACTTCTATTTCTACTCCTACTCCTACTCCTACTCCTACTCCCACTCCCACTCCACCTCCCACTCCCACTCCACCTCCCACTCCACCTCCCACTCCACCTCCCACTTCCACTTCCACTTCCACTTCCACTTCCACTTCCACTTCTGGTTCCAGATACATTTCCAGTCCCAGTCCCATTCCCACTCCCATTCCAGTTCTCTCTCCAACTTCCACTCCCATCCATCCCAACTGTGCTTCATTTTTGCACCTGCATTCCGGCATTGACACTGGGCGGCGGTTCTGACGATTGACTTATTATGAATCTCATGTTACTATCGGTAGTTCGAGGGCAGTAAACCGATCACACGGCGATATTGTTTACACGCGCGCGGTTCCAGCTATGGCATAGGTCAATTAAGGCCACTTTCCCGCTCGAGTTCCACAATAGCGTGGCCCTTATGGCGCAAGCTTTTGAGATCTCTGCTCTTCCTCCTCACGTGACTCGCTTAGCATATGAGAACTTCTTGGTTAATTATATGGTAGCGTGGTGGCCTACCCACCCCTGCAACCCCCTTCATCCCAGG